GAAGGAAGGTCATGCTGATGTGAAGGCAGCAGGGTGATGGGGAGGAGGGTGGGTGAGGATGAGGACGCGCTTTCATGGAGTCTTTGGTGGTTGGGCAACTTCGGGTCCATCTTGGGCTTACCTTCGCGGCCCTGGTGCCCCTGCCCTTGGCTTCTCTTTCGCCCCATTCGTGGCATGGGTTGCCATTGGGGCGGTCTGGGTGATTCAGATGCGTCCGTCGCTGCCCTTTCGTGGTACCGGGCGCTCCTTTGAGTGACCTTTTGGTGCGAATTACTGTTCGCTGGGGCCCTCGCGGTGCCATCTTGGGTGGGATCGGCCATAGAGCTGATGGCATGGGGGCGTTGGTCGGCGGGTGGGTCGGCACGTGCGCGCGCGTGGGCGCGCGCTTGTGGGGGTGGGCAGGGGGGAAGGGCGTGCTATTAGTGGGACGGGGCAGGAACGGTTCAGCTAAGCATTTCATCGGTTGAGCCAAGCCATCGTTTTTTGTATCGCGGTCTGGGGCACTCACAGGGCGACCGCAGGCACTTTGGGGCTCATCCTGAGGGGGGGGGGGGACGGGGTTCAGTCTCTCTTGGGGTTGTATTTAGCCGTGTATAAACATGCTCACGATCCTTCGACGGCAAATCGGCGGTATTGTACACGGCGAAGCACGCCGAAACCTTCAGATGTTCCAGTCTCTCTCTCTCTCTTTTTTTTTTTTTGTTCTCTCTCTCTCTCTCTCTCTCTCTCTCTCCTCTTTTTTTTTCTCGGGTGTCTCAATGGAAGAGTTCCGTGGCCACTTCAGGTCATGCTGGGCCACGCTCTAGGATTGTGGGTGGTGCCCGAAGCATTTTCGGGCGAGGTTGGGCCCCCTGCAGCCATGTGAGAGACTTATGTGGGACTTCAGGGCCATCTTGAGGGCCACCGACGGCCCGGGGCCCTCGTCGTCAAGTCCTGGGGAAATGAGAGGGGCCAACCACCCCCAGAGAGTACTCTGCGAAATGCGGATCAAGAGTGCTTTAAACAAATTGGCCGCATGGCTGACTAGGCTCCCCAGACTCATGCCGCCAAGCCCCGAAAGCGGCACTCACGCGCGGGAGAGACGTTGTTTCCTTGGAAGTGATACATGTGATTTGACATTCGCGACACACGTGCATGCAAGTTTTTTTCGATGGTTTGGAGAGGTTGGCATCTGATGATGCCCGTGTTTGCCCGAACCCCGCTCCCCCGAACGCAGTCGCCATGTGCGTTCACGCGCTCGTTCTTCGAGTTTGCACGCTTGCTCGAGCTATTCCATGCCGGATCTCTCCGTGTCATAACCCCAGAGCGCCCTCTCCGATGCGGAGAAGCGCGCGCTGGCAACCGAGCAAGCTATTGTTTGAGTTCTTACCTTTCATATTTTATGCGGTGCTGGCAGACGCTTCGATATGCACTCCATCGTCAGCGACCGACAAGGCTTGGACATCTATTGTTTCGGGCCCGTGTTGCCATGAAAGCCCTTGCCCTCCACCGACAGCCTCGCCCAGCATTTGAGGATGAAGGTTGGGCTGTTGGGGGAAGGCGGGCGCCTTTGTGGCCGCCCCAGGGGCAGCCGTTGGCATTTGCAGATGGCGCACTTTAGCCGAATTTGCCCACGCCCGAACGATTTGCCCAGTTCCGCTTCCAGCGGTGGTGCCCGCAGTTTTCGAGGAAACCTAATTCTATTGGGTGTGGTCTAAGTGCGTTCCATTTGCAGTGCGCCATCGCCCCCCTCCTCCTCATTCTCCTCCTCCTCCTCCTCCTCCTCCTCTTCATCCTCCTCCTCCACCTCTTCCTCCTCCTCCTCCTCCGCCTCGGCCTCTTCCTCCTCTTTGTTCTCCTCCTCCTCCTCCCCCCCGCCCGCCCCCCCCCCCCCCCCTCGGGGGCCGAGGGGTGGGGGTGGGGGGAAGAGGATGATGATGATGAGGAGGAAGAGGAGGAGGAGGAGGAGGAGGAGGTGTCCTGGCGCGATGGCCCCCATAAGTGCGTCATCACACCAGGGCCCCCCCTCAGATCTTGAGCCAGTTTTGGCGGCATCCTATCTGGGGGGGTGGGGGCCTGAGCAATAGATGTGGCGTTGGCTCATTCGGACTGCCCCCAGGAGACCACCTGGGGCAGGGGCGGTCGAGGTGATCCCACTGGCCCTCTGTGCAAGCCGTGCATCGCCGAAGTCCAGGATGCGTTGCCGTGGGTCGAGAGCGCCGAGCAAGCGGCGCAGATGTTGGGCGAGTCCGAGGCGTTGAAGAAAGGCATCCTCGAGAAGAACATCGTCGCCGAACAGGAACCACAGGGCCGCCCGTTCCCCGTCGACGGGGTCTCGCAGGTGCACACGCAGCGGATGGTGATCTTCAGGGAGGCCACTTGCGTGAATGCGACAGAGTTCAAGAGCGTGGTCGGGACCACTCCGAAGTCGCTCCAGTTGGCCTCGTTCGAGGGTTGGGGCGACGATGGCGAGCCCGAGGATCTGTTCCTCGTGAACGACGACGCGGGCGTCGCCAACAAGTGCCTCAGAAAAGTGAGGCTGGAGATCTCTCGCGGGATGGTGCGCAAAACTCACCGCGCCCTTCCCGCGGCGCACGCGGTGGAGGAGGCGGCGCAGCTACACTACCAGCATTTGTGCCAGCAGAGCGGCACCACCAAGAAGCTCAGCGTCTGCGCAATCCCGAACATCTCTGCGCTGAGGCAAAGGGCTGGCAAGAGGGCGCCTGAGGATGATGGGGCGGGCCGAGGGACGTCGCGCCGATCGCGCCTGGGAAGGCGCCGAGGATCAGCAGGGGCGGCTCGCGCGGGTGGGGTGCTGCGTCGGCGTCGCCCGCTACAGCAGGTGCTAGCCCAAGCGCCGGAGCGGCGCCTGCCCCCGCGCCGTCTCGTTTGACGGCTGCCGCGTTGGCTTCGCATGGTGGCGGTTCGGGTTCGACAGGGCCCGCTTCGTTGCGAACAGGCGCCCCGTCGGTCTTCGGCGAGTTCGCGCAGTGCCCAAAGGACATCCCTGGCAAAGTGCAGTGCTGGATCGAGAAGAACGACTTGACGATGATATTGGCAGATGAGAAGTTGGGGAACGCCGAGGTGCAGGGCCTAGCGCTTGTTGACAAGCTCAAGGGCGTGGACAAGTTCGCTGGAGACTATGGGCTTCTGAGCCGCCACGCGGAGAAGGTCGGGATCTGCCAGACGGTGAAGGTCACGAGGATTCAGTCGCTGAGCTTGGACACGTGCAAGTCGTACCTTGAGAAGCTCAAGGCTTGGAATGTCACCATCCCCGTTGTTCTGCAGAGGGGGCTTGTCGCAGCGAAGGGGCGCTCCTAGTTTGAGAAGGCAATCCACGTGTGTGGACAGGGTGGTCTCATGAAAGCGTGCTTCGAGATGTTCAAGCCTTATCCCTTGGAGGAATCGGATTCGACCGACTCGAAGTTCGACCCGACAGACCCGCGCATCGCTGACGTGGACTGCGACCCACATGACATGCAAAGTCTCTTCCGCGAAGTGTTTGTGCAGGATTACGTCAGCCGCCCCCTGATCCTTGAAGACATCGCCTTGGACGTCTTCAAGGCGTTCATCAGCCAGGTTCCCCCAGCGTTGCTCACCGACCTCTTCACGGAGCACGTGCCTACCGCGGCCGCCCAGGACAGTTTCGAGCTTGTCGTCGCCCACAAAGCCGTCCCGGCTCTTCTGATGCCGAATCGCACGGACAATCTCGAGGGCATGGTGAATTTGATCCAGCTGCCTGCGGCAAGTCCCGCCACCGCGTCAGCCATGCTGCTTCGGTGGTCGGCGCGCGAGGGCGCACAGGTGTCCTAACCTGAGGCTTGGTGGTGGTGATGATGATGGTGAGGTTACCACCCTTGTGTCCAAAATTGGTTTGCCACCCATGTGTCCACATTCGGTTTGCCTCCCATGCGTCCCCATGCGAGCTCCCACCCATGTATCCCGACATGGCTGCCGCCATGTGGACACATGGGTGCCAGCCCAAATGGGGCGGCAGAGGCGCGTGTGCCCCATGCGACGCCTGGGGCGTCACATGATACACCTCTTCCAACAAAAAAGTGTTGGCGCAGGCCCCTTAGGCCTTCGTGGGCCCGTTTGGAACCCATCTTGACCTTCTTCAGCCTACTTGAAGCCATGTTTGATCGTCTTGGGGTCGTCTTGGGCCGCCTTGATCCTCCTGGGGGTCCCCTTGAAGGCCTCTGGGGCCGTCTTGGAGCCATCTTGGGCCGTCTTGCTGCTCTCTTGGGCCGTATTGAGCGTCTTGGGCCGACTCGGGCCTCTCTTGGGGCCCTCTTGGGCTCTCCTGAGGGTCTCTCGGGGCCGTCTTGGGGCTCTCTTGGGGGCCTTTTGTGGCCCTCTTTGGCCGCGTGGGGCCCTTCTCGGGCCGTTATGTGGCCCTCTTGGGCCGTCTTGGGCCCCTCTTGGGTTGTCTTGGAGATTTCTTGGGTGCCTCTTGGGCCGTCTGGGAGCGATCTAGGAGCCGTCTTGGGCAGTTCTTGGTCCGAAAATGCGAGAACCCTAAGAACCGTCAACAACCAATTAAATATCAACCAGTGTGTTTAGCATCCTCGGGGCCTCTTGGCGGCCGTCTTGAGGCCATGTTAGGCCCTCTGTGAGGCTCCTTGAGCGATCTTGAAGGTTGCTTGGGCCATCTTGAGGCCATCTTCCGCAGTCTTGAAGCCAAATTGGGCCGCCTTGGAGCCGTCTTGGGCCGCCTTGGGGCCATCTTGGCTTCGGGAATGCGAATCTGTCGTATTCTACGAGGGGCTGCGGCCTCGGGGGCGCGAACCACACGGGGAAAACGGCCGCAGATCAGCGGTTTCCGAGGGGGGGGGGGGTCCCTAGAAGACTATCAGACACCCTACCAGACCAGCACTTGGCATTCAGGCACGCCTCAACGTGCCAGGGGGGCACGGTGGCGGATCCAGGAGCTCGACGATCTGGCGGCCCCGTCGTCCAACAAGAAGGATGGGATTGCCCCGCCCCTGCATAATGCCTTGTGCGCATCGCCAACCTATCAGAAGCTTCGCGACGAGCTGATGCACTACAAGTCCAAGGGCAGTGAGCACGCCACCACTGCGAACACGCGTGCTGATACATTGGAAACTTGCGCGGCACTTGACAAGGCTGATCTCATCAACGTTGCTTCCGATGCAGTATCTGCCTCGTGTTTATTCGGTAAGCAAGGCCCCCTGTGGAAGGCGCTTATGCGCCCTGGTTGCATGGACGCGGCCTTTAAGCATAACAAGGTGGTGCTGCAGAACCTCGTTGACTTGATGGTTGATGGGGGCCTCCCGCACCGCTTTGACGGCGACGAGCGGTCCGCAGACAAGGTGATCAGCGAAGCCGTCGCGCTCGCGAAGCAGCTGTACCCGCTCGACGACACCGTGCAGATCATGTCCCAGAAGATGGAAGGCGTTGTTGCGTCGACCAACACGCAGCATCGCATTGACCTGCTCAGTGCTGCCATTGAAGCGATCATCGCGGCAGAGGGCGAAGGCGCAGTTGACGCGGCATCCATCCAGGCGTTCGGCACCGCCAGCGAGGCCATGTGCGGCGTGAAGTTGCCCGACGGTCTCTTCATCAAGTTGAGTCGGGCGATCGGGCGGCTCTTGGAGACATCTGTGCATGTCTACACCAACGGTGGCGACTTCGACGCGGAGGTTGCCGCCCAGGCGCTCGCATCCATGTCGAAGATCATCAGCTGCGAGACCACATCGAAGAACGTGAAGTCACTCTGCGGTGTCCTGAACGCAGTCGACGGCATGTGGAAGAGCTACGCGACCCTCGTGGCCACCGCGCCCAACGTCGAGGCCGTCGCGGACGCCTGCGACATGGAGGCTGTCGCAAAGCTTGCCAGGGCTTGCGTCGGGAAGGTCGCGGCTTGCACGAAGTCGCTCGAGATCGCGAGGCCCATTTTCGACTACTTCGAATGCGCCGCCGAGCTCAAGGCATCCGAGGACACATTCGGCATCGTGAAGAAGTTCGTGCAGGACCTTTCGACCGCTGTTGCCAAGAAGATGGCCAGCGACTTGGAGGCGGCGGTGAAGGCCGTCGAGGCGACGGCGAAGGGCGGCAAGGACGGGGCCAGCTGGCACGACGGCGTGGCCAACGCGCTCGAGGAGGTGCTGAAGCGCGGCGAGGCGGCGCTGTCGAAGGACGCCTGGCCCGTGGTCGCCAAGATAGCCGCCGAGGACGAGCCCATCAAGGCCGCCCTGGCTATCCCCCATTCTCATTCCTCCACCTCCTGCCAATCGTTCCTCAACCATCATACCCCCCTCCCTTTGTCAATCTCCACTTCTGTAGTTGTTCCCCTCGCCGCCGCGCCTTCCCCCCCCCCCCCCCGCCGCCTCCGCAACCCCTCTGTCCATCCGCGTGCTGATGGCCCCTTGGCCTGCTAGCCAATTGGAGGGCAAGGGCCATGCCCCGCGAGATGGGGGCGGGAAGTGGGCGACAGAGGGGGGGAATATGGCGCGAGGAACGGCGGGGTGAGGGAATGGGGTGAGATGAATGGGAGGGGGGGTTGGCAATGCTCCTCCCCCCCCTCCTCCTCCGCCTCCCCCTCCTGTTCCTCTTTTTTATCATCCTTCTCCCCCTCCTCCTTCTCTCCCTCCTGCTGCTCCTCCTCCATCCGCCCTCCTGCTCCTGCTCGTGTTATTCCTCCTCTTCCTCCTCATCCTCATCATCAACTGCATCCTTTCCATTCCTCCGCCTGCAGGCCTTCGAGGCCTACTCTGCGTTCTGCAATGCTATCGGGGCCGAGGTGGACGAAGCCGTGAAATCGTCGGTTTCGAGCGTTGTTTCGGCGGTCATAACCACGGAGTGCGATGGCCGCATCATGCATGCCATTCGCACTAAACAGAACAAAAAGGATTTGTACACGGCTGTTTCGGCAGTTAAGCAGAAGCTCGCCAACCACGGTGGCCTTGAGGGTGTGCATAAGACACTCCGCAAGCGTTGCGAGAAGGCGTTGGCCTTCGAGTGATCGGTCCCACAGGCGGTAGGCCGTGGGTGATCGTGGGCGGCAGGACCCGAAGAAGCGGGCCAAGTTCGGGATACTGGATGGAGTTGGAGTGGGGGCAATGCGCGACAAGGGGGGATGGAGGTGGCGGAGAACAGGCTGTTGTATAGGGGAAGTTTGGGCTGATGCTGGGGGCGACGACGACGTCGGAGATGCGGGGCGGGGGGCAGGGGGGAAGGAGCTAATAACTTTGAGATGCTGGGAGGTCGGTGATGGGGTGGAGGAGGGTAAAACGGATGACGGCGCAGCAGCGCGGCCACCGCGGCAACGAGGGATGGTGCTCATATGGCGCTGAGGCGGTGGTGGAAACGGATTCGACCTGTGCTTGCCTTGGCCGTCTGGACGGAGCCTGGGACGTCGTGCGCGTCCGATTGAGATCATCCCCTCGCTCATCCCCCGTCATCGTGCCATTCGGTGCCGATCCACAGTTTGTCCTGCTCTCCCCCCTGTTTGCAAGGCTGGCCATTCGTGTTTATCTACGTGGTTTCCGCCAGTGCCCGATTCCCCTTCGCAGGTCGAGCCTACGCAGACTGCGCGTAGGTCCAATTGTAGGGCTGACGCCCACCCCGCCGCCCCCCGCAGCTTGTGCGACAACGCAGCGTGAGCAGCGCATTACACTGAGCGTGTTACGCTGAGCGCATTACACTGAGCGTGGGCCAGGGCGGGCCAGAGTTAGCTTAGGCGCTCCTGTCCAGGTGTTTGTTATTGCGCGAACTAAAATGCGCTGCCGCGCGCGAGTGTGCTTAAGATATTGCGCTTCGTTTCGCGCTCTATGGGCGACTGCGTCTGCGCGCTGCAGGCGTTGAGGCGCTTGTAAGAAAGCATGTGTTTGCGTCGGCGTTTGCGCTTCAGGTTGATTGTGTTGCGAAAGAGGCTCAGTAGTTCAAAGGTCGCGCGCTCGCTCTGAAGATTCGCGGCGATCGCGCGCGCGCCACGCGCGCTGCATGTAGTTCCACATCGAGCGCCAGAAGAATAAACAATAACAACAAACAGAAAACAATATATATATATATACATATATATAGAAGAAAAACCAGAAAAAACAAAACAGCTCGCGTGAAACAAGTTGTGGCCGCTCGCTTTGCCAGCAGCGCGCGGGAAGCATAGTTTTTTTTTGTGGCCGAAGCGGCGTTTGATAAAACGCAGAGCGTTTAATGATAGTTTTTTTTTCGGATGTCGGAAATGCGCTGTTTACTGATTTTTCAGCGTTTTGTATTTTTGCTGTTTTTGTTTTAGCCTGTAGGGGGGCACCTCCGACACAAGACAAGCGCTGCCGCCCAGCGCGTCACCTCCCGACGTGGTTTCTTCAGACTTGCGCCGCATCCGCAGACCCCTCGGTGTTTCGCAGGAGGGCGTTTTATAGGGCGCCCAACGCACGGTCAGTCTGCATCGTATGGATGGGCAACTTTCCCAAGGGTACCCTTGCATCCTTGCCTCTTCGGCCCATCCTCACCGACTTTCGCTGGCCAGCCTCGTTCGAAAAACGTGACCATGTGCCTCCATTGCCCTTGCATCCTTACCGCGCATCCTTATGATACGGGTTGACTGTATCTTGGGCGTCTCTTGGGCTGGCCTTGGGCCACCCAGGAGCCGTCGTGGGGCTATGCGACGCTTGTTGGCCCGTCAGGGGCTGTTTTCAGCGTCTCCGATGGGGTTTGCCAACCGTAAAAGTAGCAGTTTTACTTTTTCGGGAATGTGCTATGTTGTTCTTGTCGGGGCCCGTGTGGGGAGTCCGTCCAGGGCCACCTTGCGGCGTCCACGGGGCGCGCGGGGAATCATCTTGGGCTGTTTGCGGCGCCTGGCGGGCCGTAACGGGGCCATCTCGGGCCGGGGTGGTGCTCCTGTCGAGTCGCCATGGGGCCGTCTTGAGCGATCTTGAGCCCAGCTCGGGGTCCGCTTGGGCCGTCGGGGGCCTTTCCTGGGCTGTCGCGTGTCCGTCTCGTTCCGTCGCAGGGCCCAGGCCTCTCTCGGCCACGTTGCCCACTCAGCTTGGCGTCAAGGCGAACCGGGAGATCCAGCCGCGAGCCTGGAAATCCGGTCCCGAACGGGGACAGTTCTCTTCAGGCGAAGGGGTATTTGTTTCCGAGCGAACGGGGCAATCTTCCGGGAACTCCTTGGAAGTTTGCCTGGTCGAGCGAGGGCATTTTTCCGGTTCCGCGAGGAAATTCCCTGGGCCAGGCGAAGGGCTTCTTTTTCGGATTTGGATCTTCGGGGGTGCGTTCCTCTGCTCGTCACGTTGCGTTTTTGTCGGCGCGGGGCTTTCTTCCGTGATTCCGGCCCCCCATGGCTGCAGATTTGCGGGCTCCTTTGGGGGGCGGGGCGTGCCTTTTACATCGGATGCCGTCATCGAGGGGCGAAAAACCACCCGGACCCAACGATTGACGTTGAATCAACAGCCCTGCCTTGTTCGATTCCTTCTGTGGGGGCGTTTCGTAAATGGCTTCGCGTGTCGGGATGGTTATTGTGGGGGGCAGTTTTTTGCCCTCTACGTCATGGTGAGGTTTTCTAGGGTCCGCGCTGCATCAGGCAGTCTTCGGCTTCACCTGCCCTGCGCTGGAGCGCCCCTCGCGGCGCGTTCGGCGCCTCGGCCGCGCGCGCACGCGCGCCGGAGTGTCCCTCGCTCTGCGGAAGTCCATTCAACGTGCTCTGCGCCTTCTCCTGCCTTGGCTTGTGGTGCTTTCCTGTGCGTCTCCCTCTCGCATCATGCCGTTTTCTGTCCGTAGAATCGTGTTTTTTTTTGTTCGCATGTTCTTGGGTTGTCGCGGCGGCAGCTGAAGCCGTTTCTGGGGCGGTCGGGAGTGGGGGGGGCCACCTTTGCTTTCGTCGCGCGCTCGTTCGCTTCAGGCGGCGCGTCATCGGGCTGTCTCAGAGGCGTCCTCGGTATCTTGGCCATTTCCGCGCGTTCTCTTCAACGGTGTATCTGCATATACGGACGCGCACACACAGGCACACACACACGCACACACACACAACACACACAACGCACAATTCACACAACAC